AAAAACACATTGATGAATTATTTTTAGTGGTAAAATTTCTAATTATTTATGTCCTAACAGCCGAGGCTGGAGACAGCTGCCCTTCTTAAAACCACAAAAATGTTTCCTCTTTGCTTCCTGCGACTTTTTGCCCTTAGTTCTCTAGAAAAGCTTTTTTTTTTTTTTTTTTTCCCTCCATGCTGTTTTATAAAAGGCCACTAGCTGCTAATTTCTCCTTTAAACCCAAGTTAAGTTTATTTTGTGCTTAATTTGTGCTTGATGCGTCTGCGCGGCCAAATGACCTCATTTTGGGCGCGGGGGTTCCTAAATGACGTAGTTTCTGCGCAGAGCTCCAGGATTAAGTAACGATGTGGACGGATCTGCGGGGAAAACATGGCGAGCGAGCAGCAGCTCCTGCGAGATTTGTCCATGACCACCTTACGACGGTCGACTGAATTTCAAACTTGTTTGATTTTCTCCCGACCTTACGATTCCTTATGGGGGGGGGTGGTCGTTAGAGGCTGATCGCCCCTCGTTAGCCCCTGTACAGCTACACCACGCACCATCAGGCTGGAAGTCGGCCAGATCGAAAAATTCTCACACGACTGGAGAATCGGCCCAAAGAGAGCAAAAATCGTCGTGTACGCCCGGCTTCAGGGAACATGGTGTTAGAAGCAGTACTATAGCAGCAGCAGTGAACGCCTGCTGAATACTCAAACTGTAAACTTACCGTCTGTTGTTGAAAGTGAAATCCTTAAATTTAACTGACTGTTTCTCTCTTATCTGGTCTGTTAAAGCATTCTACAGACATGCTGAATAAAACAGTTGATATCGAGGTAAGCATTGCAGTCAGAGATCATTTCATCCAGTAAACTTTTTCTAAATGGATTGTGATGTTTTGGTGTCAGTCATTCTGTCCTAATAAGCTGTGTTAATGTTTTTATTTCTCCCAGCGCTCAGTAATGCAGACACCTGTAGGAAAAGGTGCTCTAAACGTTACCGTGGACATACAGGTACCTTCTCTTCCCCTTTATTTATTTATTAAACCAAAACGGTTTTATTTTTCCTCACGGAGCCTCGTTGTGTGCCTTCTTTCCCCCCCTGCAGGAATCGTCCCCTCAGACATACGCCATCACCCCCAGTGGTGGAAATAAGCCCTTGGTTTTATCAAAGAACCCAGATGATTATGGGATGGACCAGAACAGCGATGATTCAACAGACGACGAATCGGCCCCAAGAAAACCAATTCCCTCCTGGGCCCAAGGTGCGTATTACCAGTTTGGATGTTTAGATTTTAGGTTCATTCCAAAAAAGTTAAGAAAAATAATCCACTGGACTTTGTTTCCAAGTCTGAAGACGTTTCTCTTCCATCCAGGAAGCTTTTTCAGTTCAATAAAGCTTCATTTTGAAATGAAAAACGTCTTCAGACTTAGAAACAAAGTCCAGTGGATTGATTTTTCCTTTTTGGAACGACTCTGACTTGGATGACTGAGGCTGTTTCTCAATTCTATAGAACCCAAGTACGGACTCGTGTTCTTCCCGAGTCTATTCCTGAGAAGAACCCAGGAAAGTCTGGACTCGGGGAGAACAGGAGAACGCAGAATAAATCTGGGTCAACTGGAACAGAAGCGTACTGATGACATCACCACATTCAAAGCTCATCTGGAGCTGCTTTTCACTTCCTGTTATTAATAGTCTCTAGGTCAGAGGTCATGGATTATCGGACCGCGGTGCAGATCCGGACCCGACCTGATTTAAAACATTTATAAATTACCGACGGCAGTGTCTAAACTTA